GAGCTAGCTTAAGGCTTAAGGAATCACTGATGTCACTAGAGTAGAGAGATGGCTTTGGTTTTGAAAAAAAAATCACTGTTTTAGAAACCCATTCAGAGAGTAGTTTTTCTAATATCATGAAGTAGCTGCAGTTCTACTAGGAGCTAGCATGAAAAAGCCAAAAGGCTGAAAGAGAATGCAACCCATAGGAGGGGCAGAATAAACTTAAAAAAGGCTCATTGATTCCATTTTGCTGGAAGTTATTCTATTTAAGAAGAATACATATTCAACAATGAAAAGCTAGGAAACTGCACAATGAACAAAAATAGGAAAAGCTCATCCATTTATAAACCAAACAAAAAGACTGTTAAAAGGACTGTTAGTATATAAGCAATAGTGGAGAGGCTACCTTAAATGCCCTTCTCTGATAATGAGATTGATGACTGCCTTATATGCCATCCTAGAGCCTTCATCCAGTAGCTGATGGAAGCAGAATCAGACACCCACAGCTTAACACTGAGCTGAACTCTGGAATCCAGTTCAGAGAGGGAGGTGTGATGAGCAAAGGGTCAAGACCAGGCTGGAGAATCCCACAGAAACTGCTGACCTGAACAAGGGGTAGCTCATGGACCCCAGACTGATAGCTGGGAAACCAGCATAGGCTGGGAAACCAGCATAGGACTGTTCCAGACCCCCTGAATGAGGATGTCAGTTCGGAGGTCTGGTTGATCTATGGGGCCTCTGGTAGTGGATCAGTATTTATATACCTAGTACACAAATGGGCTTTGGAAGCCCACTCTACCTAGAGGGATACTCTCTCAGCCTAGACACATGGGGGAGGGTCTAGGCCCTGCCCCAAATGATATGACAGATTTTGAAGGCCTCACCCTCCCTAGGGAGCAGAAAATGGATGGGAAAGGGGGTTGGTGGAGGAGCAGGGGAGGAGGGGAGGGAGAGGGAACTGGGATTGACATGTAAAACAAGCTTGTTTCTAATTTTTTTTTAAAGGACTGCTGGTGTGTCTCCTCTTGTTCATTTTCCTCCCTGCATCTTTATATGGCTGTATTGTGGGTACTTTTTTATGCCTTGATTTTCAGTATAACTGGGTGTTTGGTGCTTACTGATATATGTACAATATCTGCACATATTTATGGGGTAGACAGTGAAAATCATATTATACACAATGTGTAATAATTAAAACAAGATAATCAGAATTCCATTTGTGTTAGCATTCTTTTGCACACTTGAGAGAATGAACTTGCAAAGAGGGTAGTTTTATTTCTACTGCCCAGGCCCATTACTGGTTGGTTCTGTTGCTTTGAGGCTGTGATGCAGCCAATCAAGGCCTGAGGGAGTGTCTTGGAAAACCTCATCTCATGGCCAGAATGCAAACCAAGGAAAGGGCAGCCAAACCCCCTTCCCATAATAATCTAATGACCTCTTACTGGGCTTTGTCTCCAAAACACTATACCAATGGGCCCTCCATGGACTGCATCTTTGGGAGAATATTTAACATCAAAACTATCATATCACCTCTTAGACATGTATAATGCCTTCATGTTGGGACTTTCATCTAGCTCTTTATAAAATATAGAGTAAATTGCTCTCTGCTGCAACTATATGACACTAGACTCTTGTATAACTCTGCTATCTAAAGATACATGTGTGTTCATGATAGAAAATGCTTAAAGGGGAATATGAAAAATTCAAAACCTAATAGCACATATAAATTACCCCAAACAAATTGTATCAAATTATGAAGATGCCTATGACCCTGCCTCAAGATCTCTTCTTATCATGGAGAAAGTCCCATGTTCAAATAGTTCTATGGGTACAAAGGAAAGAGGGAAAGATGTTTCCTTTTATCCTTTTTATATTATCCCTTTATAACTCCTATTGATATTTGATTGGATGTATTTGCCAGAAAAAAAGCATCATATTCATATACCAACTTACACATATACCTTTCACTTAATTTATAAAATAAGTAAAACTATATCCATTAGCATATGCATTGTTCTTTTTCACTAAATATGTCTGTGACATTGTCCCATATGGCTAATTGCCCATTCAGATGGCTATATAGTATTCCATTTCATTTGTAATATAGTTTCCAAAGATTAAAATTTATTTGTTAACTAGAGAAATACTAGTTAACAACTAGTAAATACTAGTTAACTAGTAAAAAGAATTTATCATCATTGTTGAAGTATAACATATAACCCTCTCCCCACCACACACACACACGCACACACACACACACACACACACACACACACACACACACACAAACTTCTGCAAAAATAGCCATAGGTAAATTCCTAACCATGGCATAGCATGTTAAAGGAACAATTCCATTTCTTAAAATTGTTAAATTAAAAATAAGTTCCCAATTTCTACACTGTTTCCTCTAGTGATCTTATTTTGGCATTTGTTTGTTTGTTTGTTTGTTTGAAACAAGGTCTCCACATGTAGCGTTGGCTGGTCTTAGTTAGAGTTACTATTGTTATGATGAAACACCATGACTAAGGCATGTTGGGAAGGAAAGGGTTTATTCAGTTTATGCTTCCACATCACAGCTCATCATCAAAGGATGTCAGGACAGGAACTCAAGAAAGGTAGGAACCTGGAGTGACAAGCTAATGCAGAGGTCATGAGAGAGCGCTGCTTACTGTCTTGCTCCTCGTGGCTTTCTCACCCTTTTTTCTTATAGAACTTTAGACCTCCATTCCAGGGATAGCCCCACCCACAATGGGCTGGACCCTCCCCACATCAACCTTAACTACGAAAATACCTTACAGCTGGATCTTATGGAGGCATTTTCTCAATTGAGGTTCCCATCTCTCACATAATTCTAGCTTGTGTCAAGTTGACATAAAATTAGTCAGCACAGCTGGCCTCAGAATCACTGTGTAGCCCAGACTGTCCTTGATCTTGCAATCCTCCTGTCTTGACCTCTCAGGTGCTGAGACTATATAGACCTGTGCCTTTATGGCAGCCTTGTTCAGGCTTTATTAACAGTTTATATTAAGTGGCTGAAAACCTCAAGAACAAGAATACCAGATAACAAAGTGGAAGTTTATATTTACCTTCCTGAACTACCCTCCAAAATCATCATTAGTTCTTAAACAAAAAAATCTGCCCAGACCCAAGAGGAGACACAGACCTTTCTATGGGGGAACCTAAAGTCATGTAGAATAGAGACCCTGTTCCAGCCGGTTTTGAAAAACAAAATCTGTATTTAAAATATTAGAATAAATTTATAACTTTTGAGTTGATAGCTTCACTGTTCTGTGCCCCTTGAAAATACAGTTACTGAAAACAGTTACCTTGGCCAGTGAGATGGTTCAGTAGGTAAAGGAATTAGCACTAAATCCGGAGTCTTGATTTTGGTTCCAGGAACCTACATGATAGAAGGAGAGAACCGACTTCTCCAAGTTGTCCTCTGATTTCCCATCTGCTTACTGTGGCACTCTCACCATCCCACATTTCCGCCCCCACCAAATAAGTGTACATTTAAAAATTAAAAAAATAAAAATGACTACCTCATTTCTTGTTTAATTTACATGTTTTAAAACCCAGTAACATTGAACAGATATCATCATTATTAATCCCTCAGGTTTCTTTTCCTGGTATCTGGCTACTTATAAATTTTTCTGTTGGGGACCTTTTGGAGAGGGAAGAAAAATGATGCATTTCATTATACATCGTGAGTATGGTTCTGGCCCTACTCTTCCTCTGAGTTTCTGGGTGGCTTTGGTACACTGAAATGTATAATGTGCCTACAGTCACATTATGAGTATTTTCCTTCATGCCTTGGGATTGACATAGTGATGCAATAGATCACCCTTGTTCCAATGTCATTTTTCATATTCCTTATTTTTCTCCCCTGGAATTTGGTCATTGACCTTCTAATCCACTTCATATATTTTATGTGTCTTATAATATTAGACAAACTTCATGTTCTCTCTAGTCAATATATAATATTGTTTATGTATTGTTGGATAATAACATATCCAAACATTCAAAACATTCAAGGTTTTTATCCAGTGGAGGTTTCTCCCAAAAACTCATCTTTGGGACTGTATCTAAGTCAACCAAACCTATTTTTTATTTTATTTTATTTCTACTTACTTCATTCCTAGAGCTTCTCATTCTGGTTCATGTCATTCCATACACCGAGCTCTTCGATGAGAGCACCGCAGCTGTGATCCGTGTTGTGCATACGATTCTGGAATACTTTCCTTATTCTAGAGACACTGTGCTATTTGATCTTATCTCGGTACTGTCTCAGCTGTGACAGCTCACCCTCCACCCTCCCCTTTAGAAAAGGTCCTGGCTGGTTTTTCTCAATTCCCAGAGCTCCCTCTTCTGTTGCTTTGGGGAAGCGCTGGGCAATGTGGCCACCTCTCTCAGTTGTCCACCCAATACACTTCCTTTCCCTGGTCTTTTTTTTGTTTTTACACTGCTCAAATTGGATTCCACTTTGAGCATCTTTTTTCCAGGATGTGGGGTCATTTCCAAAAGGGGAGCTATGGCTTGTTGTACACTACCTGTGTCCTGTGGTACACTACCGTAAGCCCCCTTGGAGCTCACTGAGGCCCTCTCCCACGAGCCCACTATGTCAATGGGGAGAAGTCATCCCATCCGGAGTGAGCTGCTACACTGCCTGGCTTTTCTGTTGACACCTTGACTATTTGAGAGTTCTTTTGTCTTCAGGGCTGTCTGCTCTCCTTGGTTCTCTTCTGGGCATTTCTCTTCCTTTGCTTCATCAATTAGTGAAACTTTACAAAGTTTTAGAAAAGCTTACAGTTTGCATATATTTTAACCCGATGTATAGTATATTAAATCAGCAGGGGCTTAAATAAAATGAATATTAGAAGCTGTTAAAACAAGAAAAAAATGACATAGGAAAACTGAAAGGGAGAACTGAAAGTGGGAATTTCCTCTGAAGCAGAGAGGACCATCCCTTATAAATAGCTCAGACCATGGAGGAAGAACATTCTCACTTGCAGCCTTTGGCAGCCTCTGTCTCATCTGGCAGGTAGCAGTCAGCACCAACCCAGCTTCCATCATGATCAACAGGTGGATCCTCCAAGCTGCATTTCTGCTGTGGTTTCTCCCCATAGCCCTGTCCATCAACTACAAGGAGCTTGAGCTCAAGCAAAGGAAGTGCAACTCAGAGTGTCTGGAGGTCCTGAGACAGCTGCATGGACCGCTCTGCCTCAACCACAGAATGGACTTCAAGATCCCTATGGAGGTGAAGCACCCAGGACAGATGGAGAAGAGAAACGTTGCCTTGATCATCGAAGAGATGCTCCAGAATATCTTTATTGTCTTCAACAGCAATTACTCAAGCACTGGTTGGAATAAGACCATCGTTGAAAGCTTCTTGGATAAGCTTTATAAGCAGATAGACTTTCTGAAGAAAATCCTAAAGGAAATGCCAAAGAATGAAAGTTTGACTACAAGGGACTCAACTATTCCACGCTTGAAGAGCTATTACGAGAGGATGCAAAGGTACCTTGAAGACAACGGGCACAGCAGCTGCGCCTGGATGGTGACCCAAGCAGAAGTCTTAAGGAACTTTATGTTCATCAAAAGGCTCACTAGGATCTTCTAGAACTGAAGACCTGTCAGCTGACGCCTCTGAGACTGGACAATGGTTGCAGGCGATCTTTAAGAATCAGAGGCTTGCTCTGTGACTGGCAGTGAGCAGACTGTATTTGAAATGTCAAAGGGAGCCTTGGAAATTTTATTAATTTATAATTTAAATTATTTTCTACTCTTTATTTAAAATTTTAACCTAGGAAAATAAAAATATTTATGACACAAAAGTCAATATTGAATATAATTTCTTCTGATTTATATAGCCATCTATGTCAATAATTGCTGGACATCCTTTACAAAGTGTTCTTTGTAAAGCACTGCTAAAAAACAAGTATAGTTTCTGACTCCTACTTTTGAGGAATTTAAAATCAAAGGAATACACATGCATTACACAAGGTAAGAGATAATGGGGGGACCTAAAGCTTCTAGGGAAATGATTGTGATATCACCCGCTATGGGATTGAAAAAGGCAGTGGCAAGCAGTTGGTTCTGGAGTCAGAACCCGGAATGTCCTATGCTTCTACTCTATTCTTGGGGCTCTATGCTTATAAAGTTAGAACCTGGCTGGACCCTGGAGTAGCCAGAGGAACATATCAGCTATTGTATTTACCCAAAACCTTTTGCTATCATAGTGATGATCTACTCTAGCAGATTATAAAATGTGTGTTTCTCCAAGCCTATGACTGAGAAGCCCCAAACACCCCCTGATATTTACCTTGCTCCTCGTAATTCCTCATGGAAGCAATAGTCTCTCTTTACAAGAAGAGATGCCAAAGATGGAGAAGACCCTACTTGGCCCTAAAAACTTGAGAAGTCTTGTCCTTCATTTACCTTTCAGAATTATATGCTCCTAGCCCCTCAGCTTTGCTCACAAAGAATCCTGCATCTGTCCTTCTGGTTTTCCTTTTCTCAGCAATCTAAAGTGGCATACTCTCAGGGCCAAATCCAAGATGGATGGATCAAATCAAGTCTGGTCTCTAAGTGGGAAAAGAGAAAGTATGCAAGAAAGGGGCATTCAGGGGAGATGAGGGACACCAATTTCTCAACTATCCTGAGAAAAACCAAGCATTTAAGGAATTCCTGTGATACCTTTCCAACATGTAACTGGCTAGGGTTTTGTGCCTGTACCCAGCCCTTGAGAACTTGGGTTTTTATGACTCTTAGTACCACACGCAGCAGCTATGTCTTGAGAGGTCCTGATGAAATAGGTACTGTGTAGAGTACCTATGGACACAATCGATTTGATTCCTTTCACATATGCCCCTTGGGTAGAAATAATTCTGTTACTTTATGTTCCAGGCCAGGCAGAAAACTAAGTCTCAAAAAGGTCTGGTAACTGCTCCAAGTTCCTATTGAGAATAAGTGGAGGGTTTTTCCATAGGCAGTACAATATAAAGCATCATGGAAGTTATTACTGGATTGAGGCATTTTCTCTGAGAGCATTACAAAACTCTTAAGAGTTTCGTCCGAAGGAGTGAGCTTTCAATAGAAGAACTCTGTCCAGGAACAAGCTACTACTGTGTTGACAGCACAGGGCTCCCCTTTCTGACTCAAAGTGTGAAACCAAGCAGGATAGTCACAATGAGCCTGCACGCATGGGCCCCAAACACTGAAATGCCCTGAAAACACAGTTCTTACTTCCTGCAATGTCCCACCCCAGCCCTCCCAGAAGCTCTAGTTCTTCAGCAAGGCTCCCTTCTACCGGGGAGTCAAGTACAAACTCAGTATATGGAAATGCATAAGTCAATCAGTGTCTAGAGCAGCCGAGAAAATGATGCAAACAGCTCAGTAATGGGTGTATTTGCTGTATTCTCTGCAGCATACAGATAAACTGGGAAAAAGCTATTTCTGCATAATTTAAAATACAGTTCTGGCTGAGCTTACTAGCTGCCAAGAGTATGTCCACCACTGTAAACAGAGGTGGGGCTTTCATTTCTCAGATGCCCAGTCCCAAAATGATAACTCAGAGGTTTAATATTAATTACAAACATTTTGGCCTATTGCTCAGACTTATTACTAACTAGCTCTTACAACTTAAATTAACCCCCTCCCCCCCCCACACACACACACTTTGGGTTAGAATTTTTTTGAGATAGGGTTTCTCTGTGTAACAGTCCTGGCTGTCCTGGAACTTGCTTTGTAGAACAGGCTGGCCTTGAACTCACTGAGATCCACCTGCCTCTGCTTCCCAAGCACTGGGATTAAAGGTGTGCACCACCACCGCCCAGCTAATGAACCCATTTCTATTAATCTATATTTTGCCTCTTGGCTTTGTGGCATTCCTGGTTCTCTAGAACATCTTGTTGCTCCAGCTGCTCGCTGCCCCTGACTCCACCCTTCTTCCATCTATGTCTCTGCTTGGATTCCCACCTGGCTCTATCCTGCCTTGCTATGGGCCAAAGCAGCTTCTTTATTAACCAATGGTAATAAAATATATTGACTGCATACAGAATCGGTGAAAATCCCCAAAAGAACCCTAAACTAAAGGGTGGCTTCTGCATATGCTAAGCAGGCAAGTGTGCATGGAAGCTGTGTTAAGGTAATATCATCAGAACACTACTAAGGATAATGTCCTAGGGAAATACCTCCAGAGACTTCCTATAGAAGAGTAGATCTGGAAGTGTTAAGTATAGTAACAAACAGACAGGGGGTAAAAGACAGGAAAGCATCTGTGTGGTGCTGTTGAAGTGTCCTCAGCACATTTGTGTCGATGGCAATGGGACTGCAGTTCCTCAGGGCAGCTGTGTTAACAGGTAGGAAGTGTTGTTTGCCTCATAGGTGCAGAGCCCCATGTGTGAATTAATGTGTTTTTTGAGGCATGGGTCAGGTCTGATGGAAGCTCAGAACCGTCTGCTCATGTGCACACCTCTCTTTTCTTCCCCTCTTCTGCTTTCCATTATGAAACTCAAGTCTGAGACATGGCTGCCTGATCAAAAGCTGCCCATCCTCCAGGGCTGGGAGCCAAAAGAACCCTCTATTATTTAGAAATTAGTCACTCTTGGGGATTAAGTGACAGAAACATAAGATGGTTTGAGATAACATGTTTAGGAGTGTTGATTTGTTCTGAGAAGAGAGACAGAGGAAACAACCCCACAAATTGCCTGGACATGTGATGCTCTCTGGAGTAAGTTAGACAACTTCCTGATGGAGACAAAGCAGACTCTTCAGAACAGCCAGTCTCACTCGAAACTTGACGTTGTATATACTGATGTCAGGACATTCTCTGCTGTCTTCAAGCTGGGCCTGGTGGCCAGCCAGAGTGATATTGTGAGACCCTGTCTCAAAACAAAACTACTCTCAAAGCCCAGTGTGTGCAGAATTTCAATGTATGAACCACAGAAAGTGCCCAGGTCCATGTCTTAAATAGTATGGGGGAAAGACCATTGTGGGGTGATCAGACAAGACTGAGCGATGACAGAACACAGGTCCTCCCTTTGCTTTCTGCTACCTCAGGCCTCCAAGTACAGCATGAAGACATTGTTTCTACAGATGTGGATTAGCAGGGCAGCCTTCTCAAGCTCTTGAGTGTCATAGGGATCTTCAGAAGCAATAGGCTACATATAAGTATAGAAGTGTTGCCTAGACACATGGGCAGTGTAGGCATGTAGATATAGTGTTGCCTAAGCACACATTTGTATTGCCTTTCCTATAGTTAACAAAAAATTATGATATTTAGATATCTAAGTGGCATTAAGCCCTTCCAGGTACCCAGATAACAACGGATTGTGGATTTGCTCATAAAAAGCTTTAAGAAAAATGAGGAGTGTGCCATGGACTGATAGAAAATATTTGCCAATAACTTATCTGAAAGAATATTGTATCCGTGTATATTATTAAATACTCTGAAAATACAATAGTTAGAAAACAGACCAATAAAATGGATAATGTATGTAAACGGTGCCTCCATCAAATAAGACACATGAGAACCAAATAAGTACATGGAGATGGTGAAGACATGCTTGGAGACTTTGGATGGATCAGGCTAGAAAGGAATGTGAAGTAGCCAACTCCACCATGAGGGCCTGCTGTGGTCACTTCCCTTTCTCATCTTAGCTGCATCTCTGTGTGAAGCAAGGGAGGTTTGCCTGGGGCAGATGACAAAGCCTTAACCATTTGGGGTTACTGTCTTTGCTCTCTGATGTGAGAAATGCAGAGGTGGCTAGCAGTTCAGAGTAGGTCAGAGCTACTCGGTTGCCCATCAGACACTTTCCCTAAATCTGTTACAATGCTCATTGACCCACAAAACAAACTCTTTCCTGAATCCTTTCATTCTCCATGTTGTTTTTAAAACATTGGCTTAACTATCTTAAATCCCCTAGAATTAATAGTTTTAAGCAAACACCCGTGCTGGACTAGAAGTGCCATACAGCTTACTCCTAATTAATAGGATCAAGCTAATTAACTCATTAATTGATTTGATGAAGAGTACTCCAGAAACTGGTTCCCACCAAACAGCTCTCTCCATTCAACACACTCTGCTTCAGTTGTTGTTGTCTGAAATCCCTGCTGTTTCACACATCCCTCTATGAGTGCTCTTAGAATGACCCCAAACATGGTTTAAATTATGTTCCCTTGTAATTAACTAATTTAAAACAAATACAGTCCACTCCAAAATGAAAAGAAGGAAGAAATTGATAGAAGAGATCTTCCAGCCACATATAGCTGATAAATGACTCTTAAATTCAATGTTTCGGAGCTGTTTTACAGAGAAACCAACAAAACCAAAAACTCAATAGAAAGAAAACATTATGACTTACTAAAAGATGAGCTAAATTTTGAATCACTCTTCACCTAGATAGTTGGCAAGTAGAACAAGAGGGTTTGATGGCTTGATCAGGCTTAGTTAATTCAACCTAACCCACAACACACCACTACAGACATCCTATAATGGCCAAGGTTGAAAGAAGAATCAAACTTTGACAAGAATGTGCAGTTAACTGAAACTCTCATTTACTGTCCCCAAATAAGGACCACAAGCTGCTTTTGAAAGCCATTTCAAGTTTCTTAAAAAGGTGAAATATAAGCCGGGTGTTGGTGGCGAACGCCTTTAATCCCAGCACTCGGGAGGCAGAGGCAGATGGATCTCTGTGAGTTTGAGGCCAGGACAGGCTCCAAAGCTACACAGAGAAACCCTGTCTCAGAAAACCAAAAAAATACAAAACAAAACAAAAAAAGGTGAAATATACC